TAAAACCTAAGGACAAAAACATGGTACTATTTTATTTCCTTCATACCAATTCAATTTTCTCCACATTCTTCCTTCGCTTTTTTGTTTGTCGACTTTCTTTGAAATAGAAAGGTCCCGCATTTCTCCGATCTCCTCAGATCGACTTCATTTGACATTTCTTTCCATCTTCCAAAATATCATTTCAGATTAGATTCTGTAGTGTGACGTATTTTTGTCATCAGGATTCTTAAGCAGGTTGTAGTACTGGGCGGGAGGAGAAGACGACGCATAGGGCGTCTTGCCCCCTCCCTTTTCACCTTCCTTTCCCTCTTACTATGACGTATTTCATGGTCGCTAATATTTTGCATCCACTATATAGTCAGGGGTAAAATTGCTTATTTTAATTGTGACGTCACTTTATATTTTTTTAACGTTCACAGAGCGCAGTAGCAGCGCATTGTGATCTAGATCTTGGGATTGTGATCGATAGATGTCGTTTTCTGGAGGAAACCTGAAGGCCTTTGTGAATGCGTTTAAAGTTTAAAGACTCCATAAATTTACTGCGATGTTGCTGCTTTCAGCGTCGGGCGGTTAGTTGTCAGTAAATAGACGAATAACAAATATTCATTACATTGATATGACGTTTTACCAATAAATCTTCATCAAAATATTTATACTTTTTTTATTTTCTTCCATAATTTCTTTCTTTGTTGTTTATTTTATTTTTACAAATATTTCTCATTTTCCTTCCATTCTTTATTTCTTCTCTGTTTGTGCATTACATTTCTCTTGTTCCTATTTTCTGTCTGTGTTATATTTAAATACTATAATAATTAAATAAAAAAACTATCACAAACCTTGTTAGCTTTCCTGCGATCCTTAGATATTCCAAGTAAATCCATTCTTTGAGTTTCCGATCTACAATTTACAATCACTTTTTGTTTCCCTTTACTCTTTGTTTGTTTCGCCCTTTATTTGATCATCATGCGAGTGTTAAATGACCCACAAATTGTTTAGCTCACAGTTTCTTGTTCTTTTTAGATTTCCTGTTCATGCAAATTTGTGTTCTCAGTTATTTTTTATTGCCGAAGCTTATGGACCATTTAACTTACAGTTTGCACTTTGTATGATTGGTTATGATGACAATTACTTCAGACTCTAATAGTTTTGAAACTAGTTCTAAATTTACCACGCTCTGGGCCAGTGCTTGAAATACTTTCGTGCGTGAACTGCATGAGTTTAGTTGGACCAACTGTGACGCCATATAATATCAGGCCCTCACATTTTGCATGGTGCAGTCCATCAGAAAATATGTAAGGATGTTAATAACTTTATGTGCAGTTCAAAATTCTGCATGAACGCCGCGTATAAAATGAATGAAATATAAATATTAACAGAGGATTCTCTTATGGTGGAGTTGAAGGTACAGCTCTGCGCATTTCTATCCTTGGAAACAGGCATTAATAGTCGGCTTGAATCTGCATCCTGAGAAATGTGCGTCTGTATTCTGGATAGGCAGTTCGGTGGGACGCAAAGTCGGTCTGAACTTAGCAGCAAAAAAAAAAAAAAGACTTCGCACCCTAACCGGGAATCGATTCCCGTGTGATTTCGTCTGGTCTGTGTCCGTTCACCAGTTTGATTAAGCTATCCCGAATAGAGTGAAGCTTTAATTAATGTGGAACGTGTTCCATTTAGTAGTTCCGATTACAGTGGTTTGCCTCTTCTCATCTTCTGGCAGTGACATTTCGGCTAGGAAATTGTCATCAGATATAAATATCACAGGACAAACGTACCCGAGGTATTTCAATTTCCGGTGTTAACTGTTGCGTCTCTCCTTATTGATCCAGTATCGTTAATTGCTAGCGTTCTTCAGGGAGACGTCTGCTGGTCGGAAGGCAGTAATTGAACTCCTGTGTACATAGATCGCTAAAGTAACTGACACGAACGAAGGTAGAGGGCTGAAATGCCGTCTGCTTGACGCTTGAACTTCCGGTATACTTTATACACCAACTCTCTACAGCTGTTTGGCTCACGAGAGCAAGTGACAGTAGATGGCGCAACTCAGCCGGTGTCTTAGTGTCGGAGACACTTAACAAACACTAGGTCACTTGTTATCCCCGTCAGAGACCACCGTGAAGACCTAAACGTAGATGGGTCATATTAAATGTGTCGTGGTTTGAGGTTTTGGAGTCACCTGTGGGATTTGTGGTTCTCACGACGGCGACTATGAAGATGGCCGCTTTCCGACGTTTCAGAGATGTTTACTGCCTCCAATTTGAGGCCAATAAGCATCTCATCGTCAGTCAACTTCTGCGAGACTGCATAACGCAATATCCTAGAAGGATGACATCTCGGAATCGTATGGTTCAGGACAGGGTCCATTCTCTGGCTCTTGTGAACACGGTAATGAACTTTTTGGCTGTCATAAAAGTCTGGTAATTTATTAATCAGCTAAGAGACTGTAAGCTACTCAATAATAAATCTGCTTCACGGAGTTTGTGCAAAGAAAAGGAACTGTTTTAGCTTTTGCGTTATTGCAAAGGATGATTAAAGTGGAGGAAAGTTCAGAAAATAGGCCGAAGTAATTAAGTAGAATTATACAGCATTGGTAAACGAACTTCTAAGCAACAAAGTTTGTGCGTTACGACTGAATATATTTCCTCGTTCAAAACTCCGGAACTAGGTATACGTGAATACGTGTCGT